TGAAGCCAGGAAAGGATTCAGTGAAAATAGGGAAGGGAACATGTCTGAGGCAGCACAAGAGGAAGATGATTTAGGTTCTGTGTTTTGAATAAGAGTGATGTTGTCACTATGATGCTCCAGAAATTATGCAAGAGGCAAGGATTCCTTAAGCTGATATCTTTTATTGGACAGATTGTGTAGTTGGGGTAGAATTAGATAAGCTTTAATAATTATTAACAAATACTTGCCTCATATGTAGCACATCACACACAAATCTCACATTACTTTCTAAAGGAGATTACATTATCTCCATTCTACATACTGGGAAACTGATGCAGAAAGAGGGGAAATCAAAAGTCACTTAGTAGGCCAATGGCAGATCTGGAAATAGAAGGCAGAGACCCTGGATCCCAGTCTGTCGGGCCGTTAGTCAGAATGCAGTTACAGTAGGCTAGGTGGCCAAGGGCATGGTCCAGGGGATAAACTCATGTCCTTTGCCTTAACACTGCTACTTATAAGTTTTAAATAAATAGAAATCAGCTTTCCACACTTCTAGGCAGCTTCTGTGCCTGGAAACCTAGAAGCAGTTTTTGATTCACAGATGTCTTTTGCTCCTCACATAAAATCTGCTGCCAAGACTGGTTAGATGGGACCTGTCCAACAGCTTTAACATACAAGGATTTCTCACTAGCTGCTGCTAATGTCTTGATTGGTGCTATTGAAATGTCTTGCTAAAAATATGGTAATAAGTAACTCACCTGCTCTCCTTCCATTCAGAATCCAGTACTTGATTCTTCACTGTCCACAGCAAATTCATTGTGCCCCTTCTATTTTATTGTCTGTCTTAGAAAGTAGAATTTCAATTGCAATTGTGCTCTGAAAAGCACATCACAAAGTGACATTGCGGTGCCATCTTTACTTTTACTCAGTAACTCCAGATGAAGTTTTTTCAATTGTCAAGTAAGATACCTCTTCTAATCACCATACCTATGAACAAAACCTGAGATCTGATAGTAAAGCTGGCCCCTTTCTCTTGAGTGCAGTAATAACAGTTCTGTAGGCCACAGTCCAACAGAGCCCTACTCAATGGGATTTCAGTGGATGCTAGATATGGCTATTAATGTTGAATGAATTGTTCTAGGCTGTGTCCTAGGTAGTATGATATGCTGTGTTTTCTTATTTAAAGTGCTTACTGGGTACATCTACATGTGTGCTTTAATGCATTAAAGCATCATGCAAAAAATATGCTAATATGTTAATGAGTAGTAAAAATAAGCTACTGTGCATTAAGCATCACTAAAAGTGTGCACTTTTGCTACTGCGCATTAGTCTAATGCACATGTATTTAGTACCTCACATTAGAAGGCATTTTTACACGTTCGGGGGGGGGGGTGAGGAGCACTTTAATTAGAGTGGCTTGGAGAGCCACTCTAATTAAAGCACGCAGAGCATCTTATGTATCAGTGTCCCTGCACTTCAAAATGGTGGTGGGGGTGCTTTATCTAAAGCTCATCAAATGAGCTTTAGTTAAGGTGCCTCCATCAGCATTTTTGAAGCATGGGGACACTGTCCACATCCATTTTTAAAGTGTGAGGACACTGATACATGATATGAAGATGCTGGCTGGAGCATGGTAATGACCATGCTGCAGCTGACTCAAGTAATTCAGTCTGCTGTTATACACTGTTATTACAACGTATTGGAGCAGCCTCCATGCTCATGTACAGGCACTCAGAGGTACTAAGTTTTAATGTGCATTAGCAAAAGTGCATTAATGAACATGTAGGCTTACCCACTGGGCATGTAAATAAAATCATGAACAACCTATGCAAGTATCAGTTCTTCAGTTACATCTCAGCCTACTGATGCCAATGAACAATTGACTTCAAGCCACCCAAACTTGTCATCATCTGAAGTTTTGTAGTTTGGTACAACCTCCTCCTCCTCCGAGGTTAATTTGCAGCAAACTTGAATTCTGTTGCATTGTTACAGGGGACTAATCTATACCAATTTCTTTTATGGATGTGCTTGTTCCAGAACTATATTTTGCAATAGAAAAGGTAGGTGTCTTGTTTGCATGTGTTACTTGTGATGGCATTAGTTACCACAACAGGTGAAGAGAATGAGAGTGTTGGTGACATTCTTTCCTTGTGTCTCCAGGGAAGATCACCTCATACTGGGGACACCAAGGGGATGTCGAGGGATATGCCTCCAACTCCCCTCCCATCTGAGGTTTGAGTTGCACAGAATACCCAGGATGTGTAGAGATTCCTTCACGTAAATGAGAGCAAAAAATGATGCAATTGTGCCTACGCTGCTTTTGAGCTTCCTGAGTGAGCAATGCTCAGCTCCTCAGGACAGCTGGTACTTTTGATCTGGAGCCAGTGATTCTGGGTGATGTTTACCAAAAGATAAACCCCAAGAAGTAGTCTTTGAGAAATGGACTAGAATTCGCTCCATTGTTAGAGCAGACCTCCACATTTCAATCAGTCTGTCAAATCAGGTGCTGCCAAACCAGTTTGATCTAGAATTTGGAAAAGGCTGTAGAGACCTGATGCCTTCATCACAGATATATTGATTTAAGGGCGCTGCTTACTGGCTGGCTGATCTCTGTGTTGCTGAAGAAGCACTGCCATGGTTCCACTGCATTGTTCCAGATGAGCGAGAGTCATCTGCTTGCTTGTGAGAAAAAAAGCTGAGAAAAAAGCAACTTTCAAATCTATTTTTACCCTCCTATCAGCAATCAAGGGAAATCATTTGAATGTATGTGCTTTCTGCCTGGAACTAGGGTACTTTCAGATAGTGATTTCAATGCCTGAAAAGTCAGGCTTATAAGGAAAGAGGCCACAGTGCTAAGGATGAAGGGAGGCAGCAGGGATCTATCACTCTGGGGGATTTTAATGCAGGATTTTAATGCTTTCCTGGCCTAGTTTGGTTCAGACTTCTCCAAGGAGACTGAGAGCTCCCTTTGATATGGCTGACTGGAGATAACTCTTAACAAAAATATAAATTTATAGAAGTGAAGGAGACGTGGATTTTTCTGTTGCTAGTAGGGCCTTCATCTGCATGCCATGTGGAAAGAATCATCTGTCCTGGAGCTAGAAACACACTGGACTGAGAGCGGAGGTTCTCAGTGTAGTGCATGATGCACAAGATGTCTGAATTTCTTTTCAGAGTAGTTAGCTCTTAGCTATGACAGCAGAGGCAGCCAGGTATCCAGGGGGATGTAGCACAGAACAACAAATGCTGTAACCTTCCTGTGAGTGCACGTTTGACTACTACTGTGTCAAATATGACAAATATTCCATGCATTAGGCAAGGTGCTTATTTTCCCATTGGTCCATGGAGTTTCTCTGTATTCTAAATGATGGCTCATTTATCTTTCAGGAACACTGAGTTCCTGAAAGTACAGGGTAATAATGACTTACTGGCCCAAATGCCCCTCTAACATCTTATGAAAACAACAGAAATATTCCTGGCCTAATTCAGTAAAATCCATATTGCAGGGTCCAAGCTACTAGGCTATTCCAGCTAGTGTGAACTAAAGCAGTAAGAAAAAACTAGTGCAATATATCTTCTCCTAACCCTAGGCTATATAGCTTGTCATAACTCTATGACACTGAAAGAAGCTTTGTTTACACATACACAAAATTGCACTGGGAAGCTATAAAAACACTGCCGGATGTCACAGATCCAGTCCATATGAAGGGCTTTCTCTGAGAAATACTTTTTTGAGGAAGATCCTAGAGACAAATAGATTTTTAGAACCATCTTCTAGGATTTATATCCCTGCTAGAGTGTCCTACAATTTGGTTCACAAGTCTAGATAGAGGATCTCATTTTCCAGAAGTTGAGCGTAGAACACAAACATTTTCAGCCCTCTTATACTGTAAAAGGCTTCCCTGTAAGGGTTCCAGCTCTTAATTATGAAACAATGGATGCTGGAAAAACTCATGATCACTTTTAAATCTCTAAGGGCCCAGAGTGTATTGTGTAGCAGAAGAAACTCCTGCACTTGAACCAAACAGCAGAGTGGGACTTGGCAGAGGGACTTTAGGCCTGGCACCTGCTCTTCAAAGACAGGGGAGGACAGAGGCTGGGTTGGATGTGGCTAATACTCAGCTAAGGGCAGAGCTAAGGGGACACTCTGCTGCCTGCCTTCACCCAGACAGGGAAACAAAGGCTCGGCTGCCCAGCCTTAGTGATTTGTTGTGTCTGTCACACTTTGTTCCCCCTTCCTCTTCCTCTTCCTCTTCCCACCTGGCTTTGGGGAGGAGAGGATAATTAAAAACTCACTTGCTTGCCAGCCTGGGCATTGGGGACATCAATCACCTTTGTTGTCCCTGCTCAGAGAAGAAAAGAGCAAACATCCTAGTACCTTGGACAGGGCACCACTCACCTCCCGACCCGCCAGCACGGAGCACAAGCGATGGAGGTGACACCTGCGACGGGAGGGGCGGGCCGGGGCCGGGGTCGGGGCCGGGGCCGAGAGCAGCAGAGGGGAGAGGTGAGGGAGCCAGCAGGAGGGGAAGGGACGGCGGAAGGGGGAAGGGAAGGG